GTGCAGTGGCACGATCACAGCTCACAGCAGCCTCCACCTTCTGAGTTCACACGGTCCTCTTGCCTCAGCCTCCCAAGTAGCTGGGACTACCAGTACATGCCGCCATACCTGGATTATTATTATTTTTTTTTGAAATGGGGTCTCACTCTGTCGCCCAGACTGGACTTCAGTGGCACGCTCATAGTCACCATAGTCTCGACCTGCTGGTTTAGGCAATCCTTTCACCTCGGCCTTCCAAGTAGCTGAAACTATAGACACACACCACCATGCCCAGCTAGTTTCTTGTGATTTATTGTAGAGATAAGGTCTCACCAAGTTGCCCAGACTGGTCTCGAACCCCTGGGCTCAGGCAGTCCTCTCACCTCAGCCTCCCAAAGTGCTGGGAATACAGGCTGAGCCACCATGCCTGGCCCTCAGCTAAAAATTTTTTGTAGGGATGGGTCCTTGCTATGTTGCCCAGGCTGGTCTCAAACTCCTGGGCTCAAGCGATCCTCTTGCCTCGGCCTCCCGAAGTGCTGGGATTACAGGCATGAGCCACCATACTTGGCCAGGAAGGACTTATTAGCAGATGTTGGCTTGTGTGTGGTGGTTTTGGGGATGGTGCAGGAGGGTGGGCTTTACTCTGGTTTGGACACTCACAAAGTAGGAGCAATGCTGTGATTGGGTATCTTTATAAATCTGATTTATGAGACAGGAGAAACAAAGCAAGGCGACTTATATTACTATAACATTATGATATCATATAAACAGTCACTTCTGTTGGCCAGGATATGGGCTGCTTAGTCATTCTGTGGTTTGATGATCTTGTGTGTCTGTGGGTTCAGACATTGTTGTGGAGTGGTCTTGATTCTTCACTGTTGTAGCGTGGCCTTGTCTGAGACCGGTGCTCTGTGAGATTATTTACGTGCATTTGAGCTCCAAAGCCTCACTGTGTGTGTGTGTGTGTGTGTGTGCGTGCGTGCGTGCGTGCGTGTGTGTGTGTGTGGCCTTCTTCCCTCCTTTCCTCTATCCCTTTCTCCCTTCCTTTCAACCCTCTCTCTTTTCTTTTCTCTTGTTTTTGAGTCAAGGTCTCATTCTGCTGTCCAGGGTGGAGTGCAGCGGCACTATCACAGCTCACCACAGCCTCAACCTCCCTAGTAGCTGGGACTACAGCCATACGCCACCACCACCCAGCTAATTTTTTTTTTTTTTTTTTTTTTGAGTTGGAGTCTCACTCTGTCGCCCAGACTGGAGTGCAGTGGCTGCTTCCAGCTACCACAGCCTCGACCTGCTGGGCTCCGGTGATCCTTCCGCCTCAGCCTTCCAAGTAGCCAGAACTACAGGCGCACGCTACCACGTCCGGCTGATTTTTTTTATTTATTGTAGAGATGAGGTCTCGCTGCCCAGGCGGGTCTCGAACCCGCGGGCTCAGGCAATCCACTCACCTCAGCCTCCCAAAGGCGTGGGATTACAGGCTGAGCCACCGAGCCCGGCTCCACCCAGCTAATTTTTACAATTTTCTGTAGTGACAAGGTTTCACTATGTTGCCCAGGCTGGTCGCGAACTCCAGATCTCAAGTGATTCTCCTGCCTCAGCCTCCCAAAGTGCTGGCCAGCCAGCTTTTCTCTTTCTTACCTAGAAAACTGCCCAGCTCCCTCGCCGGTTTCCTGGTCTTCTCTCTTGCCCCTTCTAGAATCCTTTTCATTTTTTACACAGAGCCCACAGTAACCTTGTTTCCTTGTTTTTCCCATTTGTAAATTGGCCATCATAGGAATTCCTCATAGGACGGTTGTGTGTAAAGGGTGTAGGAAGAATAAATGGAAGAGTTCATCCAGGGATGTGCAGAAGTGTGCACTTGGTGGTTCTTTACACATCTGTGCACACGTGTAGCCCCCCCATCCTGACGAAGATAGTTAGGGCCCCTCCCTGATGCTACTTCTGGGGCAGTGCCCTCCCCAAGGTGACACCTGTCTGATTTCTATCAGCACTTGTTAGTTTTGTCTGTTCTAGAACTATCAATGGCGGTATACTGTTTGTTTTGTTTTGTTTCAGGCTGGTGCTTTTTTTTTTTTTAATTTTGTATACCTGTTAAGCCATGAATTCATAGGGAATAGGTTCCAGCAGCTCGGGTTCCCCTCCTTTGGGTCTCACAAAGTGAGTGCTTCTGTGGGTGGGACAGGCTGGCGCTTCAGCTGAACCCAGGTGCCTTTCTCCTAGGCCTCCTTTTTCTGGTCATTTTCCTTCTCGTGTTTCAGGAAGCCATCTTGACTCTTAGAGTGTTTATGCTCAGTACACACATTAATTCTCTTGGCAAGAATCTTAGGCCGGGCGCAGTGGCTCACACCTATAATCCCAACACTTTGGGAGGCCGAGGTGAGAGAGTTACCTGAGCCCATGGGTTCTAGATCAGCCTGGACAACTTGGCAAGACCTCATCTCTACAATAAATCGAAAAATTAGCTGGGTGTGGTGGCTTGCATCTGTAGTTCCAGCTACTTGGAAGGCTGAAGTGGAAGGATCGTTTGAGCTCAGCAGGTCGAGGCTGCGGCAGCCGTGAACAGAGTGCTGACCTGGGTGACAGAGTGAGACTCCGACTTAAAAAAAAAAAAAAAATCTTGCCCTTGACTTGTTTGTTAACAAAATGCTAGCAGCATGCTGAGTGACATCGTAGACTTCCTGTCTTGCCATGGTAACATTTGTGGGACATTCCTTTCTTTCTTTTTTTTTT